GATAAAACCACTCATTTTTTGAAAAATATTTTCCTTCATACCAAACACAACCGAAGTTATTTTCTCTTTTCAGCAATTTTATCAATGTGGATAATGAATACAAATGCTCCTATTTGTACTGATGAAATTTATTGAAATGTATCAGGGAGAAATTCAAAAATAGTCAGATTTATAAGTGATCATTCAAAAATAGCCACAGTTTTAAAAGTAATCGAAATTTAGTCATTTTTCATGTAAAGATAAATCTGAACGAAAACATTGTTCAAAATCCGGAAAATACTCCAGCATAATATACTAAAAATATATTGGAGTTCCAGCATAAGTATACTGGACTTCCATTATAATATACTGGAGTTCCAGTATAATATACCGGTCCAGCATAATATGCTGGAAGTTCAAACACAAGTGCTCCTATCTCCAGTATATTATGTTGGAACTTTCCGCGTGTTGGAGTTTCAACATAATATGCTAGAAGTTCATACACAGGTGCACCGATCTCCAGTATATTAAGCTGGAACTTTCAGTGTTGCAGCAAAATAGTGGCTATTTTTCAATGACATTGCAAACGTTGGCTATTTTTGAATAACCAGTCCGAAAACTGGCTAGTCCGTGCTATTTTTACAATGTATCAGGAGAGCAGAATACTTCTTTCACTATATATGAAAAAGAAATATTTCTTAACATGCAATTAAATTTTTTACCAGGCACGTAAAAATAAGTTAAAGAAAAATTCCAAAGGATCTAAACCTGTGCAATTACGAATTTTTAATTGAATAATTACTTGATTGAAAGAAATATAAGACCCAATTCATCTTTTAGTAAGGTATTTAACACGGGAAAAATAATTTTATATATTTGGCTTCTTCCAACAAAAAATTTTAGTTCTTAGAATAATTCCTAGGGAATATTCCAAAAAAAAAACACTAATTACCAATAACTAGCCATTTTAGTCATGCTATCAAAAATAGTCCCAAAAAATTATCAATGATATAAAACATTCAAAAAATATAGGCAAAAAAAGATTTTTTTTTTTCAATGGATATTATTGTTATCGTTAAAAACACATAGATAAGGCAATATGCAAAATTTGACGAAATTTTGAAGGTGACTTAGACTAGTTTGGAGTCAAAATTCATTATCAATGATAAATAATATTAAACATACGCAAAAAAAAGAGAAGATTGTTTTTCAATGGGTATGGTTGGAATTCGTTGAAAACATATAGATGACTCAATATACAATATTTGAGCAAGATTAGAGGTGATTTGGACTGATTTGGTATCAAAATTTATAATTAAAATCGAGTTTAAGAAATTCTTCTGTGATAAATTATCAAACATGTATCACGCATCTATCTCACACATAGGTACATATGTGATACATATTTTATACACATATGATACATAAATGATAGATATGTGTGATACACACATGATCTTCTTCCATGTTCATCTTGTGTATTTCGAGTTTGGCTCAAATTTCAATTCGAACCATCTAAAACCTCCACCAAATTATCCCAAAATTGAGATTCATACTCATTAAGATGTATCCAATCTATTTCAAAAATACCCACTCGAAATAAATTCTAATTTCGAAAACCCAAATTTTTGAATTCAAGCTTAAGCAAGTTTCAATAGCTGTCTATGGCTTTTTCAGTTTAATCCTTCGACCCAATCCAACAAACTAATGTTTAATAGTGATTTCTAAATCGAGTTAAAATGCTCAATTATCTGAATTTCAACTTAAAGGAATTAGAGTAGTATGACAAAATTGCTATAGTCTCAAAAAGTTTGAACTATCTTTGTGTATTAGCAAAATAGATGTGCTACAAAATAAATATGTGTTATTTTCAATAGAAATTTTATTTTGAACTAGTTTTGATTGAAATTGTTTATGGAGTAACAGTTTGGATAATTTCTCTCCTTGTTACTCGTACAAATTTGAGCCAGGTCACATAACAGAAACTATGGGCACTCATAGGAATTTTCTTTTAAAAAAATTAATAATATGTTCTTACGAACTACCTCTAAATCCTAGACACTAGGCAATTGATTAATTACATGCTTGTACGTGTGTACAGAAGAAATATTTACAAAATACTAAGCAATATTTTGTACAAACGTAGCCACCCACGAATCCGAGGATCTATAGGCAACTCTTGTGCCTCCGACCTACTGGGTAAAGTTTATAGGACTAGTCACATATTTGTTCGTTCGGTCAAAAATAAGTAATACACAAATAATATGTATAAAATATGTATAATATATTTGTAGAGGGAGTTTAAGTGGTCTGTTTGAGCATTTAAAACCATGCATATATAGCATCACCCTTAAGAAGAGATATGAACTTATGTGCATCTATTCAGGGTTCACTTGCTTCCTCGTAGTCTTATGTTGTTCGAACTATCTAAAAATATAATCGGGTGCATTTCTAGAGGATCTGACACGGGTGCATGAGGGTACATATTAGCTTGACTTAGAGATTTCTTGGTGAACTGCTATATGGATTCACACTTGCGGAGTTCTCCATCCAATCAAAGACCTCCATACCATAGAATATCAGCCTCGGCAAAAATGAAACTAGGGAACATGCTCTCTGTTTTCTCCCTGTGGTTACTATTAGAACATAAGCCAAGAAACTCAAAACCACAACACAATCACCCTTTATTACTAGTATTGGAGTTTTCGTTCAGTGATTCACACTTGAGTTTGTAGTTGTGGCTGCACTTAATACCGATAAAAATCTCTCGTTGTGTTTTATATATCAAATGAGCATATTGATTGAGGAGTGTAATCTCGGGCGTAACTATGTGTTGGAGCATGGGGCACGTGAACGGTGAACCCATGCTCCTCTCTCGATACTATATATAATAATGTTATATTTCTTAAAAATTCTTTAAATATACATGTGGACACCCAAGCTCAAAAGTCATGTGTTGCAATGATTATTGGGTGCACCTTTACAAGTGAAGTTAGAGGTTCAAATCTCAATTTGTAGGCATGTCTAGTTGTCCCTCTTCTGTTTTTAATTAAGTATTTTTTCTTCTTTTTTTATTTGGTTTATTTATTAAAAATCCACAAATCGAACACCTTGAAATCCTTGATCTCCTTTATTATTGCAAAATTTTATATAATTAAAACAAATAGCAGTAAATGATGTAGCACGGTTTAATGATTCCATCATTTTTTATATGGAACATAAGTATATATTAAAAAATTCACTAAAAATGCAAGAATTTTTTAATTTTAACCTATAATTTCTAAATGATAATGGTTATATGATAAGAACCTAAAGGTTGAATCCGTCAAATATAAATTTTAGATTCAACTCTGTATAATAGTGCATCCTTCTTGGAATCTTATATTCGCCTATGAATGTAACATCATTCTTATATTTTCTTGTGAGTTTGCAGATTATGCGAAATATGTGAGAAGACAGCAAAAAATGTGCAAATAAGATTACAGGAGAGTAGAATAATGGTGACAGAATGGAATCAAGGGGAAGTAGAACCCATAAATTCATACACAACCAGTTCATCTACTACACAAAATGCTTGTTTAAGAAGATGTCAGCAATACTTCTGTAATTTCCTGCTTGCCTGCTTAGTAATTTATTTTCTTTTTATTTTACATTCTTTCAACGCTAAGAAATAGACTCTGAATTATCTCTGTTTCTATTTTTCTACCAAATTCTCATACCTTGACTCTATGTATAGAAGGAACTACTTAATTTATATTTGTTCTCCTATTTCATTGTCCTTTTTATTTTATTTTATTTTTTTAGGGGGTGGCGTAATAATACTGTATTAGAGTTAGTTATTTTTGTAGAACTATCTTAGCTTTAATTTCATATTTACCGCTCAAACAAGCAATTAGACATTATTATTAATTTTTAGTACTCAAAATTCTCATCAAAGCACTCCAATTTGCTAATAATACCATTAACTTGTAATATTTTTTTATTTCAAGAAATATTTTCGACTCATGAACCAAAAACATTTTTCATGCAAAATAACTTTCATCATGCTAAACACACTCGTCTTAGCTTGTTTTATCCTGATAATCTTCTAAGTTCTTTTTCAAATGTTTTAAATGATAGATTTTTCATTTTCCAATGAATAAGATACAAAATATTACTCATTGTTTTCTCATATTTTTGAAGCATGAAGGTGGAAAAGACAAACTAAATAAGATAACAATGGGAATGCGTTCTTCCAGCAACGTTACAAGCCATCTCTTTAAGCACCTGCCATTCTCACATGAAGGAAAATATATAAACATGTACAAATTCATCAAAATCATCAACATATTATTTTTTTATTATTTAGAGCAGTGCTTTTAGAAGATGATTGCCAAAGCATGATGAGCAGCCAAAACAATTTTGATTTATATTTATTTCTACCACGTTTTTTACTTGGAAATTAAAAAGGTATTCTTTAAAATGAACTATTCCTAGATTTCTCCCATTCAAACTCGCACTCTCTGCCATCTAAAGTAATGGTTAAATTCTATCACCTTTCGTACAAATTCACCAATATAATACTATTCAGTATCGTTCAACTTTCTATATACAAGGAGTATATATTATCTACCCAATTATGTTAAAGCTTACAACAACAACAAATCCTTGTAATCCCATAAGTGGGGTTTGGGAGGGTAGTGTGTACGCAGACCTTATTCCTACATTTTGAAGGTAGAGAGGTTGTTTCCGATAGACCCCGGCTTAAGAAACGCTAAACAGGAAGTAACCAACAATAACAACAACAAGAAAAAAAACAAAGACACTACGTGTAATAAAAAAGATTTAAAAATAAGAAATACAAGAATGCTACTAGCAATAAAATTATGTTAAAGCTTGTTGCCTACTAAATAACGACCGGAAGCAAAGCATATTCAGGTGAAAATCGTGTAAAGAAGATATGCTTTTTCATTCATTTTCTTTATTCCTTCTTCCATGACTATACTTCCTTTATTTCCCTCAAAGTTATAATTCTGCACTAAACTAACCTTTAATCTTAAGAGTGTTTTTGGCAAATTATGCAGGATTCTGCAGCAAGCGGTGGAAATTCCAAAAAAGAAGAGCTTTCAAACTGTTCCAAGAATCCAGGGATGGCAGAAAATAAAGAAGCTGAGATAACACAAGGAGAAGTTAAGGAGACTGGGACAAAACAAGGAGAAGATGGAAATATAAATACTAGTACTAAATGTGGAGGTAATTCAGAGAAGGTTTCTAATAATGGAGAAGGTCAAGAATTAGGAGAAATAATATTAGAGAAAGGTACTGAAGTAGTAGTAGATATTGATGATGAAAATCCAGGAATGGAAAAAGTATGTCGTATTTGTCATTTGAATGAAGAATCCAAGGAAATAATTGAGCTTGGTTGTGACTGTAAAGCTGAGCTTGGTATTTGTCATCGTCATTGTGCTGAAGCCTGGTTTAATCAGAGAGGCAACAGGTTCCATTCTATCATCCTATTATTTTTCTTAGAAGTCTTCTTGTACATTAAAAAGGCAGTCTGGTGCACGAAGCATCCCGCGTTCACACAAATTTGGGAGAAGGACCGCACCCAAAGGCGTGTGATGTAGGCAGCTTACTCTAATGCAAGCATCAGTGGCTGATTTCACGGCTCGAACACGTGATCAAGAGGTCACACGGGGATAACTTTATTATTGCTCCAACGCTCCCCTTCACAATGACAGTGCAAAAAAAATTATGTTTTGAATAGTGTAGTTTAATTTCTCACTTATTACGTCATATACCATGTCTTCTTATTCAGATAATTATTTTTACTTATTAAGGACAAATTACTTGTAGTGTGAAAATTCTTTACATCGACATGGTATAAAACTTTAAATTCTATCGAATTTACAGATTATGTGAAATATGTGGGAAGACAGCAAAAAATGTGCAAACAAGATTACAGGAGAGCAGAATAATGGTGGTTGAATGGAGCCAACGGCCAGTAGAATCCAGAAGTTCATATATCACATCTAGTTCATCTACTATACAGCAGAATGGTTGTAGGTGGAGATGTCAGCAATCCTGCTGTAATTTCCTGCTTGCCTGTTTTGTAATGGCATTTACCCTCCCATGGTTCTTCCGAGTTGAAATTCCTTAACAAATAGACAGTTGAGAGTTCTTAATTTGTATCTGTTCAACTCATTGTAATGTCCTCCATTTGGAAAGGGGGTTGGGGGATTAAATGTTTATTAGCCAATTATACTCCTTTCACTATACTAAAAAAAAAAAAATCAATATTCTAAGTTCTTTTTATGAATGTTAAATCATAGATGTTTCATTTGTCAATGAATAAGATCTGCACAATTCGAATGTTATTGCTTTCTCAAATATGTGAAGCACGAAGATGCTGGAGTAGACAAACTAAATAAGAGAACAATTTGGGTATGCTTGGTTTTCCAGCAACGTTTCAGGTTATCTATTTGACTTGAAAATTATATATACCTAGTGAGCCATTATTTACGCGTAAAGTTTTTACAACTGCAACAAAGATCATGCTTGTTTAAAATAAATATATAAAAAACAAGAATTACAGGACCAATTTCTTGATATCAGACTCGCACCTTTCTTTGCTTGTGTAATCTGCTTCATTGACAGCGCTTCGTTTTTCCTTGGCTTCAGAGGAGTGTTGTTAGAAGATGGCAAAAGCATGATAAGCAGCAAATTTAACTCAGAAGGAATGAGACACAATTTATAAGAGCAAAAAGGAGCGCAAAGCCCCTTCCAGCTTTGCAATAGATACTTCACACTCTTGAGGCATTGCCCAGTATACACCAAAATATCCAGAAAACATGCCCATATCTGCCAAGTTTGAGAGCAAAGTAGCAGCAGATGATTGCAAGACTCTAGTCACTTCCATAGAAATAGCATTCACCGCAAATGTTGAATATCTTCTTCTGTAGAACATCTTGGGTCAAACAAGAATTGAGTGTCCAAGTCCACCCAAAGCAAGGAACTTTAGGAGGAGCTTTAGTTTTCCATAGTAGTTCGCATGGCCATTCTTTTTCCCATACCCTTGCCTGCTTCAGCAACAAAATGTAGCAAGTCACAGCTCCTCCATTTCCCAAGCATTAGAATTTCTGAATTATAATCGCCAGCCAGATTCAGAGAAAATGTCAACAACTACAGACTCCTTATTTACAGCTATGTTGTATAAATTACGCAAAGATATCCTTAAGACATCCTTCCTCTAACCATCTGCCTAGCCAAAATCTGATCATATCCCCTCTGCCAGCTTTTAACATAGTATTCTGGAGTTCATCCCATAAGCTGCAGATTTGTTTCCATACAACCATTTTATTTGGCTGTGAGACAG